CGTGCCGGAACTACTTATAGCGTCAGCCTCCATAATCTCTCCAACAGTCTTATCTGTGTGCCTAGCGAGAACAGTAGAAGAAGTAAATAATGGTTTGCACCCGGCAGTCATGACAGTGACGCAACAGATGACCCCCATCCCGAACCCCGCTCACTTTCTGGTAGTGTTCCGTTAGCCGTACATTTAAAATGGTGAGGTAAGTACCGTAAATTGCGAAGCAGTTTACTTGACGTCCGCTTCCACTGGTGTCTTGGAAGATTGAGTTTACTGAGCGTGGATTCCTGCAGAGGAAATTTTCATTGATAGGATATTGACACGTCAATCAACATTTGATTCCTTCTTGGTAAGATTTATTGCGAAAGCCCGTTACAACCGCCGAACCGCATATTCTCGCATGCATCCGTTTGCTGGGCCACGCTACTTGAGCTAGCTGAGCACAGCTGGCAGCGGCGCGACCAAGGCCACGAGGGGAACGTGATGGTGCTCGAGCCGTCCCACTGTGAACCAATGTTTCGGCCACCCCACGGGTGCGTGTCGCCATCTATTGGTTGAACTAACGCCTTGTTCAAGATGGCTGCCGTGGGACCGCACCCTTAAACATCTGCCTGTCTGGCCGACATAAAAAGGAACAGCGTGGGTACGATTGCATGGCATTGCAGAGCGTCCTGAAGTGCACAAGCACCAGTGAAACCAAAGCTCTGCTGAATCCTGTGCTCTCTTGCCCATGCCGTTTCCAATACTGTTCGCGTCCAATGAGACCAAATGTAGAGCCTGCACTCTTCAACTGTTGGGTGATCAATAGAATCCTTCCGAAAATAATGCAGCAACACCGCAGGGTTGCATTATAGGACTTCGTTGGCCATGGAGAGGAGATGCACGGTTTCGGTTTCCATTGCCCCTTTGACGAAGTAGTGCATCTTAGCGCGACTTGAAAATGAAGTCAGCGCTCTCTTGCATTGCAACTGGCCATCTTCGTGAGAGCCCTCGTTAAGAAACAGACCTCCAGCGACTGTAAGGACCTGCCTAGGCTTAGTGAAGAGTGGTAAAACAGCCTATAGCTGCCGCGTCCCATGCCATTCCGGCGGCCCGGCTACCACCCCATGTGGAGCATGACCCCCTCTTCCCAGATCACGGATGATGTAAGTATCCTATGACATTAAGGAGACGATGAAAGAGGATTACCGGCCCAATATACTTCTTCCATGTGCCATCGTCGTCCTCTGTTGACCTGCGCACAAACTCCGGCACGCCGCGAGCTTGCAAAAACGAACCCCAGCATTACATCTCTATTGGTAGGCGACACCTAGAGTAATAAAATTTTAGGGAATGTCCCATATTTGAAAATGCACGCACTGTGCAGGGCATGCATCAAATATAGGACATTCTTTAAAATTTTAATACTGTAGGTGTCGCCTACCGATAGAGATGAAATGCTGGGGTTCGTTTTCACGATCAAATGCACATTTGATTGTGACAGGATGTCGTAAAGTAAGGTTGACCGATCGAAACTGAAACGTAGAGGCCAAGCAGTATCTAAGGTGCTGGGCGTGGCATCTGGCCGCTAAGATTGCCTAGGTTCTGGAAGAGGACTGTTGGGCCTGCACCGTGCGATTGGTAGCTTGAGATGTTTCCTTTCTTCCATTTTTTTACGTCGCAATACAGTGGTGATGTGGGAATTGGAAACAAGTAATGTAATACAATATGTGGAAATCCTGTTTTTGTTTTTTGAATTATTTGTTAAGAAATAACCCCGAGTAGACTTACCAATCACTCTTATACATAAGTAATTAGTAATTGCATTCTATTATATTTAAGGCTGATTAACTTGTAATGTAATAAATATTCTAAATAATGAGTACAGGTCTGTTAGGATCACCTGTGGTCCTTGAAAAATGTTCGTCTGTCTTGAAAACATCAAATTCAAATATGCATTCTCTAAATACGTCGGCAACAACAACTTGTACAACAATAACAACTGGCAACAACAAAAGCGTTACGTCTGTCCTATTCAAGACCCCTGTCATCTTCCTATCCCCTGTTGACGCTACAATTTTTTTTTTCAAATAATTTTTACTGGTTTAAAAAGTTTACTAACAAAATGCACTTGCCATGTGAGCCTTCCCCTTTCGCTTTACCTGCGCAACATATCCCACAAAGGGCACGGCACTTCTCACCGTCGGCTGTACCAAAAATAAAAACTCGAAGTTTTTTTTTCTTTTTTTTTTTGGAGATCAGATATTCCAGTTTTCAAGATTGTGTAAGTTCCCACTGGAACTGACCTTAGGCTTCCGATTAATATCTGATTGAAACGTTCAGCAAGCCTTAATTAAACACTACAAAACGCACACACACAAAAAACAGGGAGTGTTTAAGCTCACAGAAAGAACTTAAAAAAAAAACAAAAAAAAACATTGCCCTAGGTAGGACAGGCATGTCTCAAAAATAATGTTCGCCGGGAAAAAATCTTTTTTTTTTTTTCACAATATTGATGTTCCATTACGAATTTTTCGAGTTGTGAGAGAAACCGAAGCTGTGCCCTTGTGGGATGATGATAGCGTTTGTATCTAACTAGTGTGCGCCAGCGAACTGAGAGCGCACAGGCCCAATAAATACATATAGCTTCGCCAATACAGGAAACTCATATGAAAACCCATAGGAGCGGCGGTGAACGCGACAGTGGCGCCTCTAGTAGACTCGGAGTTTACGGAAGCAGACGACGCAATTAAAAGTAGAGGCTCCGCGACGTCCTCGAGCTTTGCGAGCCCCGTTTTGTCCCCCCAACAGCAGAAACAATTCATTATAGTCAGTCCACTTGCAAACGCAATCAACTGATCGCAACTGCAATGACAACCGAATAACGACGCGAGCAGAAACAAAGATAGAGCAGTTTATTTAGCGGTCTCAAACGCCACTTAGGGGGTCACACGCGTTTGAAGCGCATCTGGGAAGCGGAAAAAAGACGTTTAGCTACTCGAACTACATCGTAAGAGGTTAATGTTGATCCGTTACATGCTGCGTTGTCACAATTTCTTACCTGAATATGTGATCATTAAAACATGCGCTAACAACATGTTAATATTACCAGAACAAGCCCACTAGCCGCTGCTGCATCAAAACAAAAAGTAACGATAAAAATGATCGTGCAAACACTTTCCGAACTTTGCAGGAAAGATATAGGAACCGTGCGCATCTAATTCAAGCCCCGACCAGGGCGCCCCTAGCGGCAAACGGGTCCATCGCATCGGGGAGCTTCTGCCAGTCGCTGCGTTGGTTGTGCGTTGTAGTGGGTTAGCGTTGTAATTTCTGAGATGGCTATTCCGCACCAAGAAAGCCGCAACAATTGCTGCGTGGTCGGCTGCAACAGTACGTCGAAGATCGCACACGGCACGAAGTACTACATCGTCCCTTCGAAGCCGTACGGCCGTACGAGGCGGAGTACTGCGCGACCTGCAGGTGCGACTTGTGCGTCCATACAGGTTAGTGGCGTTTCTTACCTTTCTGTTCGCGCTTTGTTTAAGCTGCTGACGAATAATACAATTAACTTTTTTCTATTCTAGCGACGATGGAACAGCATCGACACCGACGGCAAACTCTAAAGTATGCTGCAAATACTTCACCGGAATCGAGAAGCGGAGTGCGGTCGCCCCCCTAAGCCTACACTTGGATGTTTCCATCAGCCTACAGGAAGATAGTAGTGGGAATCGCGGAACGGCGCGAAAAAAATCGCCCAGTTATTGTCAAGCTGATTCAGAAATAAACGTACATAATTACCACGGTCCACTCAACGCCAACTACATTTTTTTGCGGGCACGCTTAATTTTGTTAGCGGAGTACGGCGCTCCGTGACATCTACTTGTCCGTCGGAACGGACCTCCTTCACGTCGTACACGCGGCCAGATTCACGAAGGAGTTTTCTCTTCTTCATATTGGTACCACGGAAGAAGCTTTCTAGATTCGTAACCGCCTTAAACCCCGTCGTAATCACCCCGGGAACACTATATGCTGTGCTAGCTGTGCTGCTCATCGCCATTGCTTCCCCCGATGATTCTGCACCGGCTACCGAAGAAGTTTTCCGGATTCGTAATCGCCGTCTGTCCTCTGTGGTGTTCGTTGCTATTACTTCCCGATGATTCTGCGCCGACGGCACAGGCTACCGAAGGAACTTTCCGAACTCGTAACTGCCTTAAATTCCTTCGTAATCACGACGGGGACACTGTCTGCCGTGCTGTTCGTCGCCATTGCTCCCCGATGCTCCTGCGGCGGCTACCGGTAGGTCGCGGCGAACAATAGGCGACCGCCGCGACACGGCCGGCATGCTCGCTTCCTATGGTCGCCATCCCAGCCGAAAATATAAAGAAATGGGGCACAGTCGCGAACAACAGCGAATAAAAAAAGAAGTTAGCAGACAATACAAAGATAGAAATCACCCAGCAAAGAAACTTCTTTAACGACGATCGTTGCGCAGGTGGTGGTCGCCGTCGGTGTTGAGTCCACAACAAACAAAACAGAAGCAAGGCCAAGATTCCGAGACATTCGGGCTAGTTTCAAAACTTCCCACCACGCGGCGCTCAAAGACCAACCTGCAGAATATTTTTCAACCAGAAAAAAAGTTCCCCTCGCCACACTTCCCATTTCCTCCTCTCCCATAGTTAACTTGACGGCGGGGAGACTCCTTTTGTTGCTGCATCTCGGGGCCAGATAAGCCAAGCTAAGCGCATAATTACCAGTTCTGACGAATGGTACTTACCTGAAGTTAGAGCGGGAATTATACGAAGCCTATGGAAGCACTTACTATCAAGTTCACAACTGCTTTCCCTTCTATACCGGAACTGACGTCAACGTTTCAAAGCTATTTTGAAAATAAAAAATAGGTGGCGCCCTAGGCGCTCCCCCTTAGGGAAGTATTCTCCCCTTCCGTCTTCATCTTTCCGAGTTAATGGTTACAGCACAGCTTGCGGCTGCATTGCGATGGTGGGGCTCCCACAAGAAAGAGGCACTTGTGCACTCAGAACACTTTTATTTCCTGTTCTGGTGATGGCACCTGGTTGGAGCTCTCGCTATGCGTTACCTCTGGTGCCATGTTGAACCACCTCGACCTGCGACAGGGAAGAGAATGTGATAATTTACCCCGAAAATGGGCAGGGATGTGGTGGGAGTGTGAACTTGATAGTAAGTGCTTCCATAGGCTTCGTATAATTCCCGCTCTAACTTCAGGTAAGTACCATTCGTCAGAACTGGTAATTATACTTCAGCCTCTGTCGCACTTACTATCAAGTTCACAACTGCTTGTTCAAAGCTTTCGCATGTGTTCTCAGCACCTGGGTTCCAAAGTGAGCCCGGGTATCTGATTGCCGTCGGTAAAAGCGGTTAAATGTCGCCTCGGAGGACCAGTCGGCTGCTGCTAAGATGTCGGCAAGTGGTACTCCGACCTCCACAGCTTTGGAGGTGGCCGCTCCTCGCGTTGAGTGCGCTTTGAAAACCGACGTGTCAATGCCCGCAAGCGTTAGTGTGTGTTTTATCCAGTGAGCTACTGTGTCCCGTGCTGCTGGGCGGAAAGGCTTCTGCGTAGTGAGCAGAAGCTGCGTGTGGGCGCCTCGGAGTCCTGCAGTTCGTTCGAGGTACACCTGCAAGCATTCCACTGGACACAATTCCCGAACCTCTTCGAATGCTGGGAAGAAGAGGGTGGGAAGGGGTTTAGATGCCCCAGAAGTCTTTCTGAGGCCACTGAGCCCAAGCTCCCAACCCGCGGATTGTTTACGGATGTGGCATGTTGAAAGCAGGCACAAGTCTGACGTCCTGCCTGCTGAGGCAAGGGCTAATAGCATAGCTAGCTTGCTAGTGAGCATCTTGAGGCTAAGATCCTTGTTAGGACCCCACGACTGCAGGAGGGTTGTCACCGTTTCAACCCTCCAAGTTGTGGGGTATCGGGGTTTGGGGGGGTTAGAATTAAACACTCCCTTCATAAGGCGCACAACTGATGGGTGTTCCCCTAGAGGGCAACCGTCAAAGTTATGCAAGATCTGAGACAAGGCAGAACGGTAACACCCTATAGTGCGATACGCCAGGCCCTCCTTAAAGAGGCTAGCGAGGAAGTTGAGCACCTGTGTTAAAGTGGGAGAAAAGGGATCAACAGTCCTTGAATGGCACCAGCGTTCCCACCTGCGCCAGCAAGAGGTGTAGGTGAGCTGTGTTCCCCGCCTCCATGATGCCTCAATGAGGTGTTCAGCCTGCTCCGAAAGTTGGCTATGAGTTTGCTGGAGTTGGTCAGTCTCCATGCTGCTAGTGTCAGGCTCCCCGTGCTGAGCATTGGATGTACCTGCCCGTCGTGGCTGCGCAGTAGGTCGTGTGATTGGGGAAGACGACGCGGTTCCTCGTATGAGTGGTGCAGCAGCGAGGCATACCATGGCTGAGATGGCCAAACTGGAGCTACTAGAATGAGCGGACTGTTGGAGCTCTGCAACTTGGCAATGCATCTGCTCACAAGGCTGAACGGTGGGAAGGCATAGAGGCCCTGACCCGTCCAGTCCTGGCTGAGAGCATCCACTGCTGCCGCCTGAGGATCCGGCTTCCAGCTGTAGTAGTGCCTCACCTGGTGGTTGGAGAAGTCTGCAAAAAGGTCCGTGTGCACGGGGCCCCACAGACAGTTGATCCTGCTGAATGTGAACGGGCACAGCTTCCAACTGCTGGCATCCATCACTCTCCTGGATGCTTGGTCTGCATCCGTGTTCATGTGCCCCGGAATATGTTGCGCCCTGACTGATATTCCCCTCGCCCAACACCACGACCATAGCTCGTGGGCTATCCTGGTGAGTTGTGGAGAGCAGGCGCTGCCCCTCCTGTTGATGGCCGCTACTGCTGCTGTGTTGTCTAGCTCGAGGAGGATGGAGCCCCGAGACACATTCTTTGCCAGCGCCTGAAGGGCCAGGAAGGCTGCCATCAGCTCCAGGGCATTGATGTGCCAAGTGGATTGGAGTGGTGTCCAGTGATGCCCGATCGTCCACCCCTCCGAGCATGCTCCCCACCCCTTCAGCGAGCTGTCCGACTGTATCGTCTGTACTACTGGGGGTGTCTTGATCTGGCCCCTTGGGGTCTTCCTCAGTGCTCGGATCCACCACGCTAAGTCCTGCCGCGTGTCCCTGGATAGTGTAAGAGTGGTCGTGTATGTACCTCTCTGTAGGGCCCGTCTCAAATCTGTTTGAAGGTTCCTGATATAAAAGGAACCCTCCGGCAGTACCATTAGGCATGCATTCAGTTGTCCCGCCAAGCTTGCGACTTGGCGGGCCGAGATCACCGGTTGCTCTAGCCTCTGCTGTAGGTGGTCTAACAGGTTGGCGAGTTTCTCTCCAGGGAGCTCGAGCGTCAATCGTCTCGAGTCTATCGATAGTCCCAGAAACAACAAGTCCCGGGCTGGTGTCAGTACCGACTTCTCCAAGTTTACGGCAAAACCCAGGCTTTGTAGGAGGTTCACGATTAGATGTCCCTGGTTTGCGAGTAGGGAGGGGGATTGGTCCATGACAAGGATATCGTCCAAGAACATGACAATGCGAAGTCCCTTGGACCGGAGATAGGCCGCGACTGGTTTCAGTAGTTTTGTGAAAACTCTCGGTGCCGATCTGAGGCCAAATGGCAGCACGTTCCAACGGTAGACCCTGTCCCCCTCTCGGAAGCCGAGCCAGGGGCGGTCCTGGTGGCAGATTGGGACAGACAGGTATGCGTCCTTCAGGTCGATACGTATCATGGAGTCGCCCTGCTGGATAAGATCCCTCACAGAGTGCCACCCCTCCATCTTGAAGTGGTTGTGTTGCACCGACTCGTTTAGTTGTCGGAGATCTAGAATTGGGCGCATCTTGTTGTCCTTCTTTGGTACTATGAAGAAGGGGGAGAGGAACTTCACTTCGGAGGGTGGTACCCGAGAGACCGCTCCCTTTCTGACCAGCTCGGACACTGCCTCCCGGACCTGATTTGACTGCCCTCGGGTCGGCACGTTGTGCAACCCTTGAATCGCTGGTACCTGTGCAAACTCCAGCTTGTACCCCTGTGTTGTCTGAAGGACCCAAGCATCGTGGGTGAGTAACCTCCACGCTTCGCGGCAATATGCCAGTCGGCCCGCGGGCGGCAGTGCTAAGAGGTGCGGGCTTACCGTTGCCTCGATGTCCCTGGCGGAGGTAGGCCCCCCTCGTGTAGCCTCGGGAAGGGGGCCCCCCGTGAAAGGGCTGCCGGCCCACACTCCGGCTCTGGGCACTGGTCCCTGGGGCAGCCGAGCTGCGGGACCTCTTGGCTGCTGGCTCCGCGGCGGGAGGGGGCGGTTGGCGGGCTTCCCGGAGGACCTTGATGGTCTCGTTCCGCGTTCGCAGCTGCCCCAGGAAGCCCTCTCCAAACAGCAGTGGGGATCCCTCGTCCCCGCCGTCATGGGCCACCATCTGGCGGAGGTCTGGGGCCACTCGTGCAATCACCCCCTCCCGGCGCTCGCGGGAGAGCGACGCGAAGAGCCGCCCGAGATGGGCGGTAGCTGCCCCCACGTGGTCAGCCACCGTCTTTCTATCAATGGCCTCCTCCGTGAGGCCAATCTCTAATAGGCCAACCAGTGGCCCCATAGCAGCGGCCACTCCGTCTTGGCTTTCTCGGAGTGCCTGGTCCCGGGCAGCGACGTTGGCGGGCCCTTCCGAGCCACCCTCTGGACGGCGGCTCCTCTCCTTCGCCAGGGCCTTCATTTCCAAATTTAACTCCGGCACTGTGGCGAAGGGGAGCCGCGGTCGCGGGAAGCTCGTCAGGGCCGCCCTGCACCGCTCCGCGCGCCCTTCGGGGCCCCAGTGCTCTTTGAGGAAGTCAAGGAGGGCAGGGTCCACCTCCCGGGGACGGCCCTCCGTCGGTCTCCCCAACCAGGCATGGGGCTCGTCAGCGGGACCCAAAGGGTCCAGGTCTGGCGAGTTGCTCCGCTCACTATGTCGGAGTTCGACATCCTCCGTGGCTAACGGAGGGAGGCGGTTGGTGAGCACCGCTACCGAAGTAGCGATGTTCGCCACCGTTCGTTGGAGCTCCACGATCTCGGCGGTTGACATCTGAGAAGCCCAAGAAAGTCACATATCGGTTAGAAACGATTACCGCCGCACTGATCTCCGTTGTCGAACGAAAGGGATAAAGGTGCTAAGTGTGGCCCTTGAGGCTGTTCAAGAACGCGCCACGTCGTCCGGAGCCGGAGCTCCCAAGACGCGAGTGGGGGCACCGGATGTAGCTTGAGATCGCCGCCTCTGTTCGGGGCCGGGGCCCATAGAACAACAAGGGGGATCGGACAGTTTGGCTTATTGAATAGCCCTTGTGACTGTCTAAGACCGCGCCGCGTCGTTTGGAGCCGCAGCTCCCAAGACGCGAGCGGGGACGCCGGAAGTAGCTTAAGATCGCCGCCTCTGCTCGGGGCCGGAGCCCATAGAACAACAAGGGGGATCGGGCCCTATTGCAAACCGAAAATAGTCCTGCTCTGTCCGGAGCCGGAGCCCATAGGACGTGAGCGCGGACGCCTGAAGTAGCTTAAGATCGCCGCCTCTGCTCGGGGCCGGGGCCCATAGAACAACAAGGGGGATCGGGCCCTATTGTAAACCGAAAATAGTCCTGCTCTGTCCGGAGCCGGAGCCCATAGGACGCGAGCGAGGACGCCGGAAGTAGTTTAAGATCGCCGCCTCTGTTCGGGGCCGGGGCCCATAGAACAACAAGGGGGATCGGACCCTATTGTAAACCGAAAATAGTCCTGCTTTGTCCGGAGCCGGAGCCCATAGGACGTGAGCGGGAACGGGTCCTTCAAGCCACTAAAACTCCGCTGCTTGAAACTCCACTGCCTTTGTTCGAGGCCGGGGCCCGAGAACTTAGGCCTAGCACCGATAGCGGACGTGCGACAAATAGGTTCAAAATTGTTTACTCAGCGGTCGGATAAAGTTTCTTCTAAAACCTCGCAGAAGGCGAAGTCAATTTCTTGACGAGAGTGAGCCTCTCCGAGTTCTATCGGTTGAAATCTCCGGAGAACAAAGAAAAGGCTCGAAGAGCGATGAAACTTACGACTCGTCGCTCCGATCAACGAAGGAAAGATGAAGACGGAAGGGGAGAATACTTCCCTAAGGGGGAGCGCCTAGGGCGCCACCTATTTTTTATTTTCAAAATAGCTTTGAAACGTTGACGTCAGTTCCGGTATAGAAGGGAAAGCAGTTGTGAACTTGATAGTAAGTGCGACAGAGGCTGAAGTATAATGGGCGATTTGCGGCGGGAGGCACAGCGACCCCTTTCCTCCGGCGATACCAGAGAAGCGCCCGAAACCGAACTCTCCTTTCTGCAGCATTTCAAAGCCTAGCCTCTCGGTTTTGTCGCTGAATTTTTGTTTTGTTTTGCGATAAGCATGCTTGGCTACTCCGAGCATTTGACTGCTTCTGCCGTCCATGTGAAGTGACCCAGGGCCATGTGAGGATGGGCATAGGCCAAGAGCCATCGTCCAAAAACCCTAGAGTTCGCAGGAACTACCGCATTTTCAGGACTATAGCCCGCACCCGGTGCATAGTCCGCAGGGAAATATTTTTCGTCAAAAATAGAAGTGTTTTCTTAGATAGTCCGCACCCGGTACACAATCGGCACCCAGTGCAAAGCCCGCACTTAGCACCTAGTCCGAACGTAAAAAGTATCATACTCAGCAGAACTTGACAAACGCCTACTGTATTAGGTCACGATGAAGCTTTATCGTACGTAAATCAACATTAGTATAGTCCGTTACTCATAAAATCCTTCACGATTGTCATAGTGAAGGATCTAGAAAAATTAAATCATTGTATTGTCCGCACCTGTAGATATTCTGCATCGGGTGAATTTTCAACTTTTAAACTTGTATAGTCCGGAAAATACGGTACTACAGAGTGTACTGTGACCCTGGGTACTTGAAGAGAAAGCGGCGAGCCTTACAAAAAGTGTTTACGGGACGGGAACTCATGCCAGCGTGCGTACTCTAACATGTCCGGTGCTTTTACCCCAACCCACCTGGTGTTGCCTATATATGGCACACGTTGAAATAAACAGTGCTGGGGGCTGTCAAACCGTTGTTTTTGTACTGAAATTTGACCGAAATTCCAAATATTGAGATCTGCAAAAATCCATAATACGAAACAGCCTTTTTTTTTTCCGGTTCCTTGCATTTTTATATTGCGTTTTGAGATCCTACTAGTGACCAGTGCCGCGTTTAGACGTCATATTGCACGTGGCCACACCGGTGACTAGAACTCACCCTTCCGTAAGCAAAAGTTTAAAGTACAAGTTCACCCGTCAAATTTTGGAAGTGTAATTACAATATTGCGTTAATTTTTCTCAACTCAATATCTCTTCTCGAAATGGTTAATCACTTTAGTACAGTCGCCCTCTTGAGATTTCTAGGCGAGAGATGGCAAAAGCACTTTCCAAAACTAACTGTTTTACATTACCGATTCCTTTCTTAAAAATCACTAAAATTTAATTATATCACATTACAAATTACTGATTACTAAAACTATGGGCATTCTCTTCGTATTACATTTAATTTTTGCAGGTAGAGTTTGCTTGACGATAATGAAATATCAGTCTGCTGTTGCAAACAGTGCAATGTAGGCGCAATATAATATATTACTGTCATGCCGCGAGCTTGTTCAGGAAGCCGCCGATGACAACGAGGTTTTACGATGAGCTAATAACTCCAAAGTATCTGAATCAGTGGTGTCGCCATGCTGTACTAGAGCGCAACATATGAGATGAGACCATAACCGTGCTCTCGCAAGCTCGTTTTTAATCAAAAAGAAGATAATATTTTTTCTTTAATTCTCTACTTGTGCTTGTAAGTTGCAACACAGCAAGAGCTACTCAAGTCTATTGTAATGTATCACTGATATCCGATAAGCTGAGGTGGCGTAACCTGTGCAGCATAAAATGCTTTGACGGAATCGTTTGTTTTAAGATCACGCGTGAGGTGCGAGCTAACCTAACCTATACTTACAGCCAAGAATAAAGGCTCCGAGCATTAATTGGAATGCGACGGAAGCACTTCGACTTTCCGGACTCTCGTGACTATATCTGGAATGACTTCTCTAATCAAGGTGAACACACGCACACATATACCGGAGGCACTGTTGAAGTTTCAGGGGCTCGGGTTTGAGTAGAGATTATCATTTGCGCCGATACCCGGTTTTCGCTTTGCTAAAATATTTCAACAACTGCCAGTCTTTAACGGGTCAACGAAAGAACTGATCGTTTTCACGTAGTTGGGTTAAAACTATGTGGTTAGGCTACTGTATGGGTGCACTACTAAAACCAATTATAATAACATCTAAAGCGACAATCACTCTCATGTGTACTTTATCTCGTAAATAACACTTTTGCGATTGACAAGTACTTTTGCGCGCGTGCACCGTCGGCAAAAGTCGCACCATTAAATGATCTCCCTTATTTTTTTTTTTATTTTTTTCTGAGCGAGAAAAAAGGGGGAGGGGGAGAGAAGGTTGTTGAGGGTAAAAAATGTTGGAGATATGTGCTCTGATTGTCATGATTGTGCATTTTTGATCACCTAACCTTTACAGCTCCCACATGAACGCGACGTCCCATGATGTCAACCGCAGAAACAGTTTGATCACTACTCGTACATCAGCCTCTGCGTTCGGCTTTCAGGTTATTGTGTACCTTCGTGCGTGTGTGCGTGCGTGTTACTTTGATATTTGTATCTGATGTTTGCGAGTGCATATTTCGTAATATTTTCTTTCCGGAACGGTAAATCATCTAAAAATATTTTTTTTACTCGAGTTTATAACTGAAAATATTTACAACGCTTCAAACGTGCCTCAATGTGAAAAGTTCCCCAACTTCAGCGTGCAATTAAAAGAAAACTTCGTTTTTCTTTTTTTCTCGAGGAAAATATTTTACACTATATCGCGTGGTGTTCCATTAATATGTTGCATTATTTTGTCTCCGTGCAAAATGCAGCACTTCGAAATACACGAACTAGGCCACTTTTAAATTTTTACCCAATATTGGTGAGTTGTTATCTGGCAATGTCTTCAAGAAATAGCATTGAACTATTTCTAATATGTTCTTCCCAAGAGGGCCTATCAGCTACATGAAAATCATTGCACTAACTAATAACTGGACAAATTTACAGTGCGGCAAACAGCTCCCAGGGCCGAACTCGGTCCCAAGCAATAACAAAAGTTGCAAGTACAAAAAGAAAAACGGTACTGACATTTTCAGTGGCTTTTATTTCTACGCCACATAGTTTTATTGTGTCCAGAGTTTGCGAGCTCAGGCTGAACTCAAGCAGGATTTACCAATGAACCACTCTAAGCGATCCATTATTCGCAAACACAAAGCAGCGTAATCTGTTACGATCCGTTCTACCTTAAAATGGACCGCAGCGGACGCTACGAGTCATCGGAGCTGAATCAGTTCTGAGTGTGTGACACGTGACATGCGCTGAGTGTGGAAACACGCGAAGCACGAGACCAAATGAAGCGCTCGCAGCGCTGCATTGGCTGCAACGACTTGCAGCGTCCGGTGAGGTCCATCCCTGGGTATACAGAACATAATCTTGTACCAAAGCAGTATGTCTGACTTCCCGGATCACCCCGAAGACATCTCCAAGCAGCTCACAAAAGTGTCATTGTATATTGTCAGAATGTTGAACCGGACAAAACCATTATCACGGAGTACCTTCCACACAGGACAA